GACACAGAAGAATTTCATGAAACAATATAAGAGCATGAACCTGTAATGGTGAATGAAGAAGTTCAAGCTGCTCTAAAAGAATTGGCAAAAAGCAATGCCCCAGTAATTGATAGTATATCAATTGACGTATTTCAACAAGTAGATGCTGCCCCAGATGTGCTCACTAAGTTGTGCCAAAAAATCTGGAGGACAATAACTTGGTCAATTAACAGGAAGAGATCTATATTTGTTCCCATTCCCAAGAAAGGTGACCCAACAGAGTGTGGAAATTATTGCACAATATCATTAAAATTAAACATGCAAGCAAGATTCTGCTAAAGATATTAAAGAATGAGTGGAACAAAAAAGTGCATCAACCGAGAACTGCCAAAAGTGCAGGCTGGGTATAGAAGGGGTCATGGTACTAGGGATATTGTAGCTTATGTTAGTTGGATCTTGACTAAAAGCAGGGAGTGCCAGAGGAATGGCTGTATTTCACAGACTATCCAAAAGCATTTGCCTGTGGATCATAACAAATTGTGCTAACTCAGAAGAATGTGAATATTAGAATATGTGGTTGTGCTCATGGAAAACCTATAAGTAGCCCAGGTCATAGTCATAAGAACAGAGTAAGGAACCACTGCATGGTTTAAATTGAGAAGATTGTAAGGCAGGGATATCTCCTATCTTCACAGAATTTCAGTCTATATGTGGAACAAACAGATCAGCCAGAGACTGAGTTCTATGAGGAGGAATGTGGCATCAAGATTGGAAGAAGACTCATCAATAATTTGTATAACAATAAAAGAATTTTGCTTTTACTTTTCAAAGACAAGAATGAACTGGAGGGGAGGGGTGGGCAGGGAGAAAAGTGGCAGCAGTGAAAGAATGGAAATCCAAAATCTCTGCAAATTTTCACTAAAATTAGTAATAATAATAATAATAAATAAAACCTACCCATCTACATTATTCAGATGACACAACCATATTTGTTGAAACTGAGGAGGACCTGAAGCACTAGCTGCAGAAAGTCAAGGACTGCAGCCTTAGTCAACATCAAGAAAATAAAGATTCTGGTCTGGAAAATAGTGTATTCTAATTTTCAAAATAAACTAGTATAATACAAATGAAAGAAAACAAAGATTCTCACCACTGAGCCAATTAGTAGCATCATAATAGATAGTGAAGGGATGGCTTCACAATCAACTCTCTTGGTGCCAACAGCCAGAAAATCAAAAGATTAATTGCATTGGGATACTCTGCTATCAGGGAACTTTGCGTAGAATTGAGGAGCAACAATGTCAGTCTGGATACTAAAGTGTGCCTGAAACAGGTCTTTGTACTTACTTGCTGTGCATCAGAAAGCTGGAGAATGACTAGGGATGATAGAAAGACAGTTGACGACTTTGAGCTGTGGTGCTGGAGTAGTGAATATACTATGGATGTCTTGGAAAACAAATCGATTTGTCCTAAAGAGGGTAAAACCAGATTGCTCCTTGAAGGTAAGGATTCCTAAGCTTCATCTGACATGGGCATGTTGCAGGAAGGGACCAATCCTTTTAGAGGTTCATCAGGCTTGGAAGGAGAGAAGGACAGTGCAAGAGAGGAAGACTCTTGATGACATGTATTGATTCAGTGACTGGGGTAATTGAGGTAGTTGTGTCCCAGACAATAAGGTTAGTACAGGACATAGAGTAGGGTTTAAAGCTGTTGTATGTAGGGTTGCTATGAGTTGCAAGCCACTCTACAGGATATAACAATAACTACAGGCTTCACAAGAACATATGGTGTTTTCTTATGTGCCATTTAATTGGAACTGATTCACAGCTGACCCTCCAGGGTTTTCTGAGGTTTCAGATTTCATGGTAAGATGCTGGCCATCTTTTGTTTGTAAATAAACTGGTAGATTCAAACCATGTGTCTTTGGGTTAACAGCACAATTCTTTACCATTAAGCCACCAGAGCCTTATATTGATATCTGCACGTGATTTCAGTTTGGTTTTGCTGTTCTCCTTTACCTCTGAAAAACTGGGGAAGATATAAAGTATTGTTATGCCATGCAAAAGATTGCATTTGTGCTTCTTCCTGGCTCAATCTGCCCTGACTTTCCCAGTCTGTCCTTTCTAGCATCTTGTTTCATATATCTCTACTGAGTAATAATTGTCAAGTAACTGCTCACCCTGGCTATGTCCAAAGCATTTGACGCTTCAGTGGTTTGCTAGTCTTTTCTGAAAGACTCTGCATACTGTAACATTCCTCCAGAGTTTCATCATTCATATATCACTCTTTTCTTTAGTGATAAACATACATTACATAATAAGTTTCTTTCTATTACAAAATATGTAAAAAGGTAACATATATTCTTACTTCCTAAGTTGCAACAAAGGTCTTTGCATTATGATTTTTATTTTATTGTATTTTTTCAATTCAAATTTCTTCATAGAATTCGATTCAGTCCTAGTTGACATTTTTTATCTTGTCTTTGCATTACACGAATATAGTACTTTTTTATAGTAGCTGATTAATACTAGCAGGATATTTATAGTGAGGTTTCTACTGTATCTTCCTTCAGGCACTCATGTCTTGTGCTCTCACCTGTTGGAAACTTTTGGTATCTGAATCCTTAATATCGTAAGATTTAATGAAAATTGAAACACAGTATGATATTATCTTCTTTTCACCATTGTCTTCTTTACATGTAATACATACCTAATTTTAAAGGGCCTAGTATTCTCATTCTTCTGTGTCTGCCGATTCCTTTTGGTATAGTGACTCAGTATATTCTTCCCACGTTCTTTTAATACCTCCTGGATCATTTAATATTCTGCCCAAAGTATCCTAAAGTATAGCAACTTGAGGTTTGAATTTGTTCTTAAATTCCCTGGTTTAAGAAATGCTGAATGAAGGGAGCTCTGGTGGCCTAGTGGCAAGAAGCTGCACTGCAATCCCAGAAGCGTGCGGTTTGAATCCACCAGATGCTCTGCTGGAGATGGGGGGGACAATATCCTCCTGTACCAGTCAGATCTGATTTGACGCTACACAGACACACAAAAAAAGAAATGCTGAATGAGTCCAGCCCTTTTGATTTTCTGACTCCAGTTCCTTCACATTTCATTGTAATATTTTACTTTGTATTCCAGCACTGCCTTTTGAAATCTTCTGTTCAGCTCTTTAATATCTTGAATTCTTCCCTCTGCTTTGGCTTCTGAACAATTTAGTGCAAAATTCAGAGTCTCTTCTTTCAACCATTTTGGTCTTTTTTTTTCTTCTCCCCTGTCTTTGTAATAAGCTTTTACACTCTTCCTGGAGGATACTCTTGATATCCTCCCACAATTCATCTGGTCTCTGCTCATTGGTGTTCAAGGCCTCAAACTTGTACCTGAGATGGTTCTGAAATTCAGGTGGGATAGACTCAAGGTCATGTTTTGGTTCCCATGGATTTGATTTAATTTTCCTTAGCTTCAGCCTGAACTTGCATAAGAGTAGTTAGTGGTCTTTTTCACAATCAGCATCTGGCCTACTTTCGAAGAGACCAGTCCTTAGAGAGGGACGTCATGCTTGGGAGGGTGGAGGGACAGCACAAGAGAGGAAGACCCTCTATGAGGTGGATTGATTCAGTGACTGGACTAACGGGGGTGGGTGTGTCAGAGACAGTGAAACTGGAAAAGGACTGAACAAGGTTTAGGGCTATTATACATAGGGTCGCTATGAGTTGCAGGCAACTAAAAGGCACATAACAATAAAACAACAAAAAGTATTCGCATATTAATTCAATGAAAATATAATATTATTTAAAAGTAGCTTTAAGTGTTGAAATGTTAGTTTGTTTGTAATCCAACTTTACTCACATAGACCAGCACAAACTTTGAATCTTTTCCACAGCTCCAACTCTTTAATAAAATTCGAATTCTTATTTTTATTTCTGAGTCTGTTGAAACTTTCACTCAGGTTATTTACTTCAATGCCATAGCTATAGAAATTTCCATCACCTTTGAGGAAATTAGCTCCATTTCTCTATGAGAGAGGATCACACTGACTGGCTTAACTTCTCCGCTTTCATGGATATCAGCCTTCAATTTCACACTTCTTTGGGAGCTTTCAAATACCTTAGAGGACATTTAAAAAATGTTTTCAGGTTTTCTTTGTTTTGTCCTTCATCAGACTATTTGACCAAGGTAAATTATACAATGATTACAAAATTCAAATATATACATATAAATATGAAAAATGTTATTCTCTATTCTTTGAAAAGGAAAGAATAATTATTATTTCTGATATAAAAATAACTGAGTGTACAGGGAATGTATGTAGAATGATCTGTTTTGAATGACTTTTATGATAAAAAATATTAATTTCATGTTTAACTCATTCATTGTGGTTGAGTCAGAATCAACTCACAGCTACTACTTGTGGGATTTACGAGGCTATAAATCTCAGCGGATGAGATTACCCAGCTTTCTTCCGCAGAGAAACTGGTGAATTCTAGCCACGAGAGCGGTATAGAATTTGGGTTATTAATGCCATACACTAGAGCAGACCTCTTACAATGCTATCATATAAGTTGATACTAATAAAAACACTCATCTATTATTTTTTGTTATTTTTCTCAAATTATTTTTATTACGTCTTTAGTAGGTTTTCCAATATGACTTTGACAGTGTTTACAGTCTGTGCAATCATGGTATTTCGACTCTGGGATAAAATCTACATTTAATTCATTTTGTGTAAATACAGCATCTACTTTGTAATAAAGACTTTTTTTTTTTTTTTTTTTTTGCTGGTGGCTTCAAGTTTATTTCCACTTGGGGTGGATAAAACAGCTATGGATATTCGAAAAGCTCATGTGTGATTAGACAGTAAACAATGTGGTTCTCTCAACTTTTTGGTCTTTTGCTTTTTTGAAATAGAAAGAACCACCCACTTTTGCACTTGGTGCACCTGCCTAGTCTATGGGGTGGGGCAGAGAGGTGCTGACAGAAGCCCCTCAGGAAGGCGTCGGTGGTGGTGGTGTCGGTGCCCTTTCAAGAGGAGCCCGGGGCCAGCGCCGCCTGGGTGCTGCCAGGCTGCTTCCTTGTGTTGCCCTGGGCCAGGTCACAGGCGACCACACTGCCAGAGGCCTGGGGTCGCAAGCGCTCTGGGGACTCCAACACAGTGGCCATGAATGGGACACTGGTCTTCCCGAAAAAGAAGCTGGCCCACCAGTGGCCCGGGTCAGCCTTGGGGAGCCCTGGGTAGTGGGGAATGGCTTCCCCCGGGTACTCAGTGCTTCCACAGGAGCTGTTACTGGAAGTGGATCCCAGACGGCCGGAGGAGGGGAGGCAGGTCAGCAGGACAGGGGCTCTGACCGCTAGCCTTCCAACCACGGCCTGTCACACCAATGATAGGGGCCCAATTCCAGGAAGGAATCTCAAGGAACTGGGAGCATGGATCACGGTGGCTAACCAGGTGGCCTGGAGGGCAGGCGGCCACCGTCTGGTCTCAGGGTACGGGGCTGGGGCACGCAGGGCAAGGGCCCCTACTCACGCCGGTAGTAGTCGTGGGTGGCCACAAGCGAGCCGCTGGAGGGGATGGCTGCCATACTCTTGTCGTGGCTTGGTGGAAACCTCGGCAGCGACCCCTCGGGCCTCGGCGTGATCACGGGTGGCAGGGCACCGGGAGGGAGGAAAAAAATCCCTAAGCCACGAAGCCCATTTGCGCAGGAGATCGCGGAAACAGAGTCCAGCACTGCGACGTGCGCGCACCATAATAAAGACATTTTTATTGTTTGTTATGTTTTTTATGGCACACAAAATTTTTCTTTTGGCCCTGGTGGTCTAGTGTTAAGACGCTGCATTGCAATCCTGAAGGTTCATGACTTGAAGCCACCTGCAGTTCTGTAAGAGAAGGAAGGGAATCTCTGCCTGTACAATTAACTGCCTCTGAAAAACTGCCAGAGGGTCAGTTATAAGTCGGCTCTGAATCTACAGTACACACAACAATATTAGATAGATAGATAGATAGATAGATAGATAGATAGATAGATAGATAGATAAAAGTATAGATCTCAGTTTCTATACTATACTTTTCAAAACCTTTACTTTAAAAGGTGTACTTTTTTTCAAAGAAGTGATACACTTTTGAAGTATAAGAGCTTTTGGAATATATAAAGTCAAATAATCTTACAATTATCATTTATAACTTCACGAGTGAATTCATTTTAATAAATCAGGATGGCACCTCAAGGATAAGAAAAAAAACCTAACAATATACCATTGCCTCGATAAATTCAGAAGACTAAACTCTACACATTTTATCATTTAGAAAATTTCGTATAAAGATCCAAGGTGGGGGGAGCAGAAGGGTGAGGATGAGCACAGGGGAAATGACAGAGCCACACAATTTGGTAGGTGGAAGTAAAGGAAATGAGAACGATCCAGTAAGGATATGGAAAGACAGGGTAATGTTGCACATAGTTCAAAGATGATTAATTTCATAAAACATAATGAATGGAAATGATTGTATGAAATACAATGTCAATGAAGGATAGTATGGAAGATAATGTATGCAAACTTTGTGAGCAAATCAATTTGTTGTTGTTGTTGTTGTTATGTGCCGTCGAGTCCCTTGCGACTCATAGCGACCCTCTGTTCAACAGCCCTAAATTTTGCTCTGTCCTGTGCCAATCGCACTATCTCTGACACTCCCA